AATAAATAAATAAATAAATGATGCAGATTGGGGGGTTATTGCACTCTCTGGGGGACATGCATTGGCTCCATGTGGTTAACTTCATGTCTGTCTCCCTGGTTTGCATCAGATACCAGGTGGGGGTGACTGATGAGGATCCGTCCCCTATGTTAGCACCAGGGGCTACTGGCAGCTATAACCAATAAAGTTGTGGCCAAATTTTTTTTAACCAAAAACAGCCTGTGTGTGGTTATTTGAACTCCAGTCCTTGGACCACCCTCACGTGCTCACTGACAGAACTGCAGATGTGAGCTTAGGTGTCAGTATATCAACATCACTAGATGCATTGATATAATAATGTGTAATCCAAAGGGTATTGGTCTACAGTTCTGCAGAGAATAATGCTGATATCCATCTCTCAGATTAAGCACAACTTTTATGATCCAACATGTTGGGTAGTATCGATTTATTGAATGACTGATTTCTAGCAGTTCTCTGATGCATTCCTATAAAACAAGATGATAGCACTTCAACTGCCTAGATTCCATTTGGAGGATATACTTTTCTGTCACGTATTTTAGAAACCCAGCAGACACTGCCATGCGCCTACTGAGAATTAGACTTGATATTACAGAGAGTATCTCATGGACACATTGCCATGTTTCTAGTAGGTATGATAGATTGAGGAAGCAGATGCTTTTTAGTGCATCAGCCAAAATTAAACCCTTGCAGATTGTGCTGTTGCTTGGATTGGACCCAAACACAGACTGTAGATAAGCAACATCATCTCCAGAACCCAATATACTGGGATGTTGAGGAAGCAGTTGGATGATCCACTAATACTCCACCCCAGTTTGTAAACTAAGAGCAATGTGAATGGGGCCTTTCTATTTGTAGACAGACATCCTGGATCAGTTTAAATTTTAACATATGAGTGCTTGGATCTTTGGGTCTGTGGGTAAGTGCTGCTCTGGTGGATTTGCAAGGAGAAGTCAGCAAATTGTCATCTATTTCCCAACACTTTGATTGCCCTGGGAATGTCTCCCCTCCACCACCACCTCATGCCTTTGACCTTTTATCTTTGCATAGAGCAGACCTGGGCAAAGTGCGGCCCAAGGGCCACATACGGCCCGCGAGCTGCTCTTGTCCGGCCTGCGGACAGTTTTGAACATCAAAACCATTTACAGCTTTTTGTCTTAAGTTGATCAGTTGCTTATCTTTAACATACCGCAAAAAACCTCTTTAGTATTTGTGAAGATTAACAAGTTTAAAATAAAAACAATCATAACATCACTGTTTCATTTTATTTTTAAGTAAGGATGCTTTGGCCCCCGAAAACAGTTCAGATTTTTCATGTGCCCCCCCTATAGAAATTAATTGCCCACCCCTGGCATAGAGACTAATGATATGTTTAAACCATCTGGATTCAATCCAGAGTCCCTCCTGCCCCGGCAGAAAATGAGTTGAGGAAGTACAACTTATTTGTCTTATGCACCCTGTCATGTTCAAACATACCAGATTTTGCCAGTACTGGATATCCAACAGTGACTATCTGGATCGAACCTCTGTTCTCCTGACATCTGAGATTTGTAATGTGCTAGGTTAATTAGGGTTTTCTAATTGGGCATGACTTGCTTATTTAAGCCATCACTTTCATCTTCTTAACAGCATGTGTTCACACACTGTTTCCAGCATACTCAATAAATTCACATCGGTAATTGAAAAGGGAACAGACCTACGAACCTCAAAACCTAGACATGCATTTTCCCTGGAAAGAATGACACTTCTGCAGTTTTGTGGGGGGGTGTTTGTTTATTTGTTTGTTTATTGCATCATGTGAAACAAATTCAGTACCTTTTACATTCATCCTCTTTCCCTACCCTTGAAGGCAAGGTCAAGAATTAGAATAACCCCTTATATATGTTTGAGCATCTGGAGAATAAACTTTTCATTTGTAAATAAGATATTACTGACAAAAAAATATACAGTATGTGAGGGGTAATATCTTTTTCCAGGAAGAACTCTGATTGTTCTGCAATTAGGTTCTGGCGACCTCTAATGGATAATTTACAGCAGTAAAGTACGTAAGTCTTTATTCAAGGGAATCTTAACTCATGGTGTCTCTGCTGTCATCTAGATTTTGTGATGTTTGGTGACAAGCGATGCTTTATCAGCATAGGTCTGAGTTTAAAATGTCATCCATGCGGTGCATGCGTCCTTGTGTCCACCAGTGTAGAATAACCAAAGTCAAATTCCTTCAGGTCAAATTCCTTTCCATTGTTTCCAAGAAACTGGTGTTTCTAGGCAAAGGTTATGCAAAGTCTGAATCAGAACAAGGTAGCTCTCCTGGATGGAAGAGGAGTTAAAATTAAGGTAGAGATTGTATTGTCAGACTAAGGCAGAGATCCTGTCCTGTACAACTTTGCCTGCATAAAGCTGGTGATCAGCAAGGGCAATTTTTCAGAAATTAAACACTTGCTACTTCTGTGCCACATATCCCATGGTTACCATGTAATCCTTTTCATCATTTGGAGACCATGGGAGCCATGGGACAGGGTGAGGAAGGCTTTAATTACCGATGCCTAAAGCTATTGCTGCCAGTAATATCGTCCTATATCCCATGGTTACCATGTAATCCTTTTCATCATTTGGAGACCATGGGAGCCATGGGACAGGGTGAGGAAGGCTTTAATTACCTAAAGCTATTGCTGCCAGTAATATCATCCTGGCAGTGGCAATTTTAGATAACCGAAGGCTTCCTTTTCTCTGGACTTCCATGGCTTCCAAACAATGAAAGCAATTTACACAGGAGCTGTGGGGGACACGACACAGATGTGGGAAATGTTTAATTGTTGCACCTGTTTATTATGTCCTCAGCCTTACAAGATGTATAGTTGTGCAAACAGTATTTCAGCCATTGTGTGCAATAATCCCACCTCACTCCCAAAATATGAAGACAACCATTCTAGCTTTCCCAAACACCCTGTAGTACAGGCCGACCTCACCATCTTATGTGTATGCGTAGTTAGGATCTCTTTTAGTTCTGGAACTCAAAACCCCAAAAGCTGGATGTGCATTTGACTCCTTATATTGAGGTGATAGACAAATTTACATCAATGTTTTCCAGCTCTAATCCTACACACAACAATATGGAATTAAGCTGTCTTCAATTCCTTTTGGTAAGAGATTTTCATCTCGGAAACAATCCTTTCAGTCTTTACATCTTAGGGCAAGGGAATGGAAAAGATCACCTGCTGATTTCTTTCTATCTCTAATTATTCTGCAGACGGAACTAACCATGACAGTATAGCGAAGCATCCCTGAAAGGAAAAAAAGTTAAAGAAGGGCTGGTACTGATAAATAAATCCCAGGCAGAAACAATGTTTCCTTGGCGAAACATTCTAAGGAAATCACTTTTCTAGTCAGTGTAAGGTACAATCGGGGGGGGGGGCTATGATTTTGCTCCCCAGCTCCCTGCCCCCAAACGACTGTTCTGAGAATAACTTGAAAGAAAGCTTGTAATGTTTATCTTCATAGTCTCTGCGTCTTTCTTGTACTAAGGAAATTGGCTTCACCGTTATACCCAGGGCTCAGAATGGCCTGAGACTAGACGACAGATCTCCAAGTATTTTTTTTTATTTTAATTGCTCTGCCAGCATTGTTGCAGAGTGTCTGGCCTAAATCCAATTTTTAATACCAACTGATGCTGACCCATTCAGTCAATTGGGACTTTGATGTTACTTGAGACCAGAAACACATGCTGATTCAATGGATCTACTCTTGTTGGAAGTACCAATGCGATTTAGTATCCCATCGTTAGTCTCAACTAGTGTAGACTATGTAGA